CCCCAAAACCCCAAAACCCCAAAACCCCAAAACCCCAAAACCCCAAAACCCCTATAGGAAAATAAACTATTGAACTTTTATACCTAAAATGGAAAAGAAATCAGAGTGAAGTGAAGAATCATATGATGGGGAATCAGACTTGTGCTTCGAAGACCTTAAAAAGAAGCTTGTTGCGGACAAAAAGAACCCTCCTGACAGTGAAGATATTAATTCAGATGATTTTGCATTCTCAATGAACTCTCTTAGAACATCTGAGTATATGAGTTCGATGCAAATAGGGAGCTCTAAAAACGATTCTTTTATCAAAGGGATCTTGCAGGATAGTACACTGAAGTCTAATCTTAGTAATCAGAAAAGTGATAGTAAACACTTGCAGAGCACATTTAAAAATTTAAACAACAGTTCATTGCATATCAAAAATGATGCATTAGTACTGGATTCAGCTACATGCCCAATTTTATTTGATGAAATCCAGTTCGAATTTAAACCAAGACCATCGAGTGTTTGACTCCCTCTTGTAAAGAAAGTCAAGAAATCAAGAAAATATAGAAAAATGAAGCCAAATCGATCTTTTCCCATACTAAATATTCAGCCAAAATCCGAAAATTGTCAAGAAAAAGTAGCACCTAAAGCGGCTTCCCCTTCCCAAAGAAAATTCAAAATTCAGAAGAAAATATTGAAAAGAAACAAACAGCTTGCCAGGAAAGTCTCAGATGCGCTTGAGGGTTGAGAAGAAGTCCTAGAGTGTGTAAGTTCCTGATCCATAAATTGGGAGTTATCTATTATTACTTGACTTGATTGCATTAGTAACTCTAACCAAATGCCAATAACCCCTTATAGAAATAAAGAGTCTTCATCAATTTCAAGTGGTTCCAAAAAATTGGTGCAGAAAGCAGGCAAGATTCGGCCAGTGAAGTTGAAGCTAAAACGAAAAAGTAAGTTCAAAATTATAAATAATTAAATATTAATGTCTTCAAAATGGAATGAAGGTGATTTCGATATCTTTAAATAGTATTATACTCGGCTAAGATCCGATTTTATTACACCTTATTTTTATCCTGGATAAATCAAACTGGTCCAAACCTCACATATCCAATTTGGGCAGATATTGGGTTTTGCATAAATCCGAGTAAAATTTATGAATAATTCTTCAATTTCATACTAGAAATAATAGTCGAAACTGTAGATAATATTTCCCAAAGAAGTTACTAAAGTTTCAGTAAATTTATCTAGTACTCTTAGCTTAAAGGCTCATTTTGCATAGAGCACAGGAAAATAAGCGAGTTAATTAATAACTCAAAGAACAAACTTAAGGTTTCCAAAGAGATATGCAAGAAGAATATGAACCATCAGAAGAAGTAAGTATTTAGTTATTTCATCCAAAATTACAAATCAAAATACTAATTCCTGTTTTAGTGCTAAAGAAGATGAGAAAGAAGTTGAAGGAATGCTGGATGATATCCAAGAAACCTGCAAAAATATTCGGAATAATCAGTCTTCCACTTCTAACACAGGAGTGCAACCCGCTAATATTCGAATCCGATCAGCAGTAAGAGTTGAATGAAGGATCTGATCATTAATTTTAGACTAGTAGATCAAAGAAGAACAGGCCAGAGATAGCTACTGCCCTGCAGACTCTTGTAACTGATAGTTTTAATCATTAATAGGATCAAAAGCAAATGCTTAAGCCTATGAATCCAACAAAGATGATTAACAAGAAAAAGATTAAGTTTACCAAAAAGGAATCAGGCCAAAGTTATCTATCTGTCGAACAATCTGAAGGTTTTTTCAGACAAGGGACTACCAAAGACACTGCTAGTATTGAAAAGATCAAGAAGGAAATCAGAGAGAAACAAAACATTGTTCAGCCTAATATTAACCAAAAGAAGATACGGAAGCCTGTTCCTCATTTAAAGACTGGTTTACAAAGTACCTTAAAAGATCAGGGATCAAAAAGCCCGAATATTTTGAAGGTAAAGTATTTAAACCAAGCATTAACTTTCTACCAGAGCCTACTAATCCTATGAGAAGGAAGCTAGAGTATATTGACCTCTTCCTATTTCTTTTCTTCAAATAGTTAGACAGGCGCTAAACTAGCATATCACTTTTAAATCAAAACTAATTTTTGTAGAATAAAGTATCAATTCCCAGGAAGATGCATAAATCAGGAAGATCTGGAGCCAATTCAGTCAGAAGGAACAAGTACGAGTTTATAAATAAGAATTTAGAAACACTACTCTTGAAGTTGATAGCTTAGTCCTTCCCGAAATACCTGCAAATCGTAAAACTCCAATGAAGAAGCTTGATAAAACTTTTGAATTGAACAGAAGCCGAGTCAAAAGTTTAGAGCAGAGTCCCATCTCTACCAAGCCTAGCAGGAATAACAGAAAGCATAACCAGCTTAAAGAGGCCTTGAAATTTGAAAAATTGAAGCTTGTTGCTGGAGAAGCAAATTCCAAGTCTCGCTACACCAAAAGATCCAGTAATATGGTAAACTATCCATTTATCTTGCTTCTCATCATTTGCCAAAAATCTTTTCTAAACATTTACTTTAGAGATTATATGGCAAAGATATGCTCTGTGAAAGAAAGAGGAAAAATCATAATCAGCTGTAGAGTATACATAGGTTATTACAAGTCTATTAAAACTAAATATCTTTAGTTCCAGTCCGGCTGCTTTAATTTCGGTGAGGATTCACTATTAATTCATTTAATGTCGTCTTATATTTCAAGTGTTTCTTGAGATTAAGGGGTTTTGGGGTTTTGGGGTTTTGGGG